AGGAAATGGATTTTTAGGGACATGTGCACATTTGTATCGTTGAACGCGATTATCATACTCTCAATAATTGATCGGAATCTTGGAGACCGAATTATGAATCACATCTTTAACGCATCTCCAGGCAACTTGTTTCTTTGGCAAAAGATTGTTTTCGAAGACTGTACTCTTCTCTAGCTTCCTGATATCCGGGCCATTGAGTATTCCTGTCGAACGAATAAAATTAAGATTATTCTATCATATAGTTATTTACGTGTTACCTTCTTTAAGTTTAGCTGGACTTAATTTCGGGAACACGCCATGCAAACATAGAAACGCTGGCATTTCCTTATCCTATGATTTAATAAAGTTTTTAACTATCCCTAGCTTGATATGAAGGGGAGGAAGCAAGATTGAGTCTCTGGGAAAGAGTGGTGGGTAGATTACATTAGATTTCCTTAGCTCGTGTTGTCCACGCATTTTTCAATCAGTTTTCAAGGACTGGTTCTGCTTATAGCGTGTGTCCCACAAGTACAAGTAACACATGTTTTTCGTATATCCAGTTTGCAGACCGCATAATAACGTGACAACCTTAAGGTCTGCACAAATACGCTACTGATGATCCTTGTACTTAACTGCATCTCAAATCTATAAAGACTATCGTAGGTTTCTTTTGTGTTTACGTAGGTTGCAATTGGCACAGAATTTTTCGAGTTATCGACGTACAGTAGAACAGCTTTAAGTGAGATTTTACAACCATCGATAAAAAGGCGCCAATCATCTGCCCGGTATTCATTTCCCATTTCAGTCATCTATATCATGTCTATACAGTATGCAAACGTATTTTCTCTGTTGCTCGTAAAAAATGGAACAAATGATTTCTGTCGATGTCGGAAGGATGTTGTATTTACACCGGTAGCCAGGATATTAACTGATTTCAAGTGACCTGCCAATAATTCCGCTTTGCACTTGGACAGATTCAGTTGTCGAACTATTTTGTTCAAGTGATCTTGTGTTATTTCGAAAAGGGTACACGGTGCACTAACCTGGGATGGGCACATAAGCAGAGTAACTTGTTGTTGCTAATGATGGTAATGAGGCTTGTCCGGAAATTACATTGTATTGTAGGTGCTTTATAACAGGAATAGCTTCCGAATTCGGCATTGGAATTTGAGCTGATGATACTTCTTTATAGGTGATATTATCTCTCGAACGTTTGTTGTGGCCAACACTTTATTTACGCATACAAAGCAGTTCTCTGCATTGTGGATGTCCGGGTCGCTCCATATCATCGGAACTCCAAATGATAAATGCACAGCTTTCCCACATTTCCATTATCTCAAGCTATTGTCACACGAAGTACATACAACGTTAGGAGCCCAACGTACACCCGAAATTACAGGCATGTCAAAATACTGCTTGTATCTTTCGGCAAACCGTGGTGAACTTGATCTTCTGCTGGGCGCTATTACACACTTGCTATAAGCGTAGCACAATATGTTAATATTATACGCTTGAATTGCAAAACAGATCACGATACTCCGTTACACAAATACAACACTTATTTGACGTTTTACATATGTGGATTTGATGCAATGTGATATAGAGGAGGTGAAGAGATATTAGTGATATGGTTATGAGCAGAGTAAGGTATGGTGACATCATAAAGTTTCATCATTACAGAGTCCTTCTTTTAGTTCCAGAGCTTTAGTGAAATATTTTATTTGGCAAATCATCAAAATGAGATATAAAACGTTAAGAGAACATTTCCAAATGTTCATTAAAAATGTTATCGCAGAAATTTTCTACAAAATTCACTTTTCAACAACAGCACAATTATAATGTTAACATCTCATATCATCCCAAAGTTGTTTCCTGTAAATATCCATGGATTATAGATTTTTACGGGGGTATCCAATTTGAAAAATCACCCGAACGAGGGGTAAGATGGCGAGATATCGTTTTCAAATGTTCTAGGAAAGTGTTTCTCTAGTCACTTCCTACAAAACACTTTCAGACGACAATGTCATAACATACTTTAGTTAGGCAGTGTACGACCATCATCGGGACAACATACAAAAATTCATAAAGAGGGCGGTACCAAAAAATTAAGTCGTGTAGGATATAAGTATGTTCTAGGATTATACTCAGCGGACAACAAGAAAGTCAAATATGATCAATTTTTTCAGTCTTAGAAAGTTGTAATATTCTTTTAATCAGACAAGCCAATAATAATTTTAAATTGAATAAAATAACAATAAAATATGATTAAAATCATCGCATTTAGAGTGTTTTCATTCTTTTGGACTATTAAAATAATTATTTTATGGAAATCTCAACATACCAGCACATATTATGGTTTTTTACAATGAATTTATATGAATTATAGATTTTTAGGTGGTACCCAATTTAAAAAATCACCCAAACGAGGGGTAAGACAATGATATATCATTTTTAAATATTCTAAAAAAATGTTCCTCAAGTAATTTCTACAAAAAACTCTTAGACGGCAATGTCATAACATGCTTCAGTAAGGCAGTACACGATCGACATCGGGACAACATACCAAAATTCATAAAGAGGGTGTTACCAAAAAATAAGGACGTGTTAGGGTATATGTATGTTTTAGGATTTTACTCAGGGGACAACAAGACAGTCAAATATAGTCAATTTTCTCAGTCCTAGAAAGCCTTGTTGCACAGTGATATTATTCTTTTTAGACTAATGTTGTTGTATTTTCTAATACATCTTATATTCTATTTTGCCATAACCTCCACTTTGAATAAAATTTAAGTATATTTTAAACAGGAAATTTTTCACAATTCTGCGTAAAATTTTACTCAACTGTTGATATTGAGCTGTCAACTGCTAAGCACTCAATTTACAGTGTACTAGTCACCTTTCGTGTCAGTTGTGTCTCAAGGAGGGGACTTTTACCCTTTCTGACGTTTATAACTCGCACACTTGCGCAGGCTTGCTTCCACTCACTTGCTATAAAAAATTATTTTTCGGAATTATGATATCATTACACGTTATAATGATAATTCATACTTGCAAGTTACGAGGAGAGGTTGTAAAGGATGTGTTTGATTCGTAAAACCTGTCAATGCTGCTTTCAGAGCGTCACAATTAGCGTTTTTGTGTGATTCATGAGCGCTCACTCTCAGTGAACGCTCACGAATTATAAAATCGATTACTGTGACGCTCTGAAAGTGAAATTGTTAGATTTTATGTATCAAACACTAACTCTACAACCTCTTCTTGTAACTTAATAGTACAAAATATCATTAAAACATTTAACGATTTCAAAATTCCAAAAGCCCAGTTTTTAAAGCAAGTAAGTGGAAGCAACCCTGCACTTGCTTAATCTTATTTTCAAGTGCGAAGTTTGTTATCCTCACTCTCGCTAAAGCCAAAAATGTAGGTTTGTTATTGTTATCCTCACTTTTGGAAAATCCATATTTGTTCATATATAATGGACTATATTGTTAATTTATAATACACTGGAGTCGCTTTTTACGCGGATGATACGTCCCGCGTAAAAAAAAACCGCGTAAAAAAAACATCGTAAATTCCGGAATCCGCGTAAAAAAAAACCGCGTAAATTCCTAAATCCGCGTAAAAAAACCGCGTAAAAAAAGACCGTGTAAGAAAAAACCGCGTAAAAAGCGATATACCGCGTCAATTCTGAAATCCGCGTAAAAAAAAAACCAAAATCCGCGTAAAAAAAACCGCGTAAATTCCGGAATCCGCGTAAAAAAAAAACGCGTAAATTCCGAAATCCGCGTAAAAAAAACCGCGTAAAAAAAACCGTGTAAAAAAAACCGCGTAAAAAGCGACTCCAGAGTATGTTCATAATTTCCACGTCGTTGTTATGTGCTTATTTCTCCCCGGTTAGAGCAAATATTATTTTTTTTAAACTCGTAAAATAGTTTTATTGATTAGAGGTTTGAAAATTACTAAATAATGTTTGCCAGAAATTAAAAACCAGTAACATATTGTCAAAAATCGATCAAGCTTATTTAGTAGTGATGACAAACTATATACATATTCCGAAGGCACATGAACAACAGAACACTTAAAGTATTCAGGATGATTATAAAAGACGAGCATTCGCATATTTTTAAAATTGCCTACTAGGATTTTAAATTGACATGAAGTTATAGCAGATAAAACGGGTGCTCAAAGCATACCCTTATGTCAAATTTGTCATTTGGCCAGAACATAAATCACAATACAGTGCCTTTCACGTTTTTGTCTACATGACCTCATCTGCTAATTGTTTTCTCAAATTTGTGCTAATGCTTTCTCAAAATAGTCGCCACGAAATAGAAAGGAGAAAGGATCATCAAAGGATATTCCAGTGACATCAGAAATTCAATAAAACCTTTGATAGTACACCTAAGAAGGCAAAAATCATCACTGCATGTGTAGAATCACATACAGGCAGCATTAACTTGTTCCAACTGCACTTAAATTTCAGTTAGATGTAAGCGGACCAAATCTGCCATCACTTCATCTCATCTCTGCTGACATGGTTCCCCGACATGTTAGATACATCAAGAAGTTGTCTCTCTACCCTCACATCACAAGCCAACATTTAGCCTGTGGGGATTGGCAAGCTATTCCCGATCTGATTGAATAGGATAATAATGCAAACATAGCCGCAGTCTGTGTTCCTTCATGTTGGTTTGCTGGTTGCATGGCAAGGGAAAGAAAAACAGTTCCACCCACTCTCTCCAACAAACAACATCGGGGTGCTTTTCCAGTTGGGGCTAGAAAGAGCGAACGTTGTTGAAGAAGGATGTTCTTCATGCCAATAGCTGATTACGGTTTTGTCCCGCGGGTTCCGTTCATTCGTGCGTAATCGAACTCTTCGGCCACCATGTGTGTGTGCTGAACATGTCTTGAATGGAGGATCTGTGTAAAAATGTGGAAAATTGAAAACCCTTCCAGAATCCCAAAATGTTCCCAAAATGCATTTCGAATGACACAGAGCAATACCACTTGCAGCGTTGGCTGAATCACTTCACATCTCACTTTATTGGGGCAATCTTCCATCGATACTCGTAGCGTGATTTACCATCGTCGAGGGCAAGATAATCCACCCGTCCCCGTTTCTTTCCCCCGGCATACTCAATGTAGGAAACTTCGGATCGTGTGTCGTCCCCTTCCTGGATCACCTGATACCAGTACAGGGTTTCGGTTGCGTTTCGGCACGAGTAGCCTTCCAGGACAGTGAAATTAGAATTCTTCCGGTTGAATACAGCTTCCAACGTCATCGAGACCCGTTGCGTGTGATTCGATGCTTTCAGTTCGTGGAATGGAAACGGAAACCTGTTCGGGCACTCCTTGGCGTATATCACTGCAAGAGATGCATTTTAAAATGTGGAAATTTGCTATATCTATCTAATAATACGCACCGCTTGCGATCAGGAAAACGAGCACCACAAATTTGGACATTTTCTAGCAGTCAAACGTACTAACTATTCACAAATGAACACTTCCACGTCTAACGGATTAGCTATTTTGAACTGATAAGAACGACCGATTGGTGCTAATTCTAGTACAGCGTCATGATCAGACAGGGATTTTTTTTGTCCAACCGAATGGAATTTCGTCGTCGAAGTCTGTGCGGCAAGGTCGCCCTAATTATCAGTACTAACAAGATCGTCATTAGCACACACGATCAGTAGGGTGTAGCGGTGCGGTGTTTTGAGTGTATTTACAGTTCTGAGACTATTTAGCGGGTCTGTGTTTTGCAGCACAGAATTGTTCGTCTGATCACTGTGTCAATATTTGTGTTCACTGTTATCATCAGCTTGATTCGGTTCAATGAATGTGAAGCTCGTGCGATGTGAGCTTGGAGGGAACTGAAAATGACATCTCAATTATTTGGAATGGATTGATGGATAGTCAAAAATAGGTAGCTACAACCCAAGTAACAATTGTGCAGCTACTTGGCATCCACTCTGATTTATGATGGTTTTATAACGGAAGTAAACAATCCATTTAGTTTAAATACAGCATTTCAAAGTGTAAAACATTCCTGGTTAGTAAAACAGCTTATTACTGTTTTAAAAAACTTTTATAGTCTGTCGAGAAAGTTGTTTGAAAAATAAATTTAAAGCAGCTCTTAATACCTCCATAAAACTGTTCTGTAAATCAATCATAAACTTCATTAGCTCTTGTTTATTAATGCCTTGATAAAATAATATATAAAGTTGTTCTGTCATTATAAAAGCAACCATAACACAATTCGGTTTTAAATGAGAGCAAAAAGCATATATTGTTGTTGTTTAGACTTTAAACTGTACCTTAAACTCCCCAATTACTATGTATTCAAATTGAACTCAAAAGTTGGATCCTCATAGTGAATAAGAGCAATATTTATGACAAGGAAATCTCGAAGAGTTGACGAAGTAGGATGAAAAATTCAAGCGATGTTAATGACCGAAGGGAAGTCAATGTCAGCAACGACTGAGCATCTGGAGCCTTCTCAAGATCGGACGAACGAAATAATTTGCATTTGTACCAACAACAAACAGTTGAAACTGTCAGTAAGTGGAGTTTGGCTGGTTTCCGATTCATAGCAGTAATTTTATTCAGCGAAAGGTTCGAAATTTCATTCAAACGTACTTAATTTCAACTGCATCGTTTGATTGTACACTTCGGGAATCATCCGGAAGAAGGGGATATTTTACGGGAACAATTGAGCTTACAGTTGTTGCGATATATGCGAAATGTTGCAAAACAGTTCCGCACACTTTCTTAGTAACTGCTTCCAATTCAGCGGGAGAAAATCCCCTGGAAGAACGCTGGAGTAAAACCTCGTTGCAATGATCGAACAACGCAACTATTGAAAGATAAACAAACTTTGACGTTTAACTCTTTGCAGGCAACTTTGCCTCCATAAATGCTGCCATAAATCTGTACGGGATAGGATCAAGCAACATGGCTTTAGACAAATACAATTCAGTCGGGAAGTCTTCTTCATAAAAGCTATTTTAAAACCTTATGAATTTGTTAGGGATTTCATTAAAGCAAAACAACTTTTTCACAAATGGGCCATGCGAACCACCTTTTAGGCCACCGCCATATTATTATTTGGTTGGATTATTAGAAACTTCGTTTTAAATGTGTGTTTCCATGGATATAACTTTATTTTGGTCAATTTAGGAATGAGCAGATATTTGATATACGATAATCATAAAACATATCTCGGCTGAGCTTAATGATCAATCTAAAGAATAATTAATTTTTCTTCTCGATTAAAAATAATAAGTGAGATCAACGTTTTCCAAGGGCGGACTTATTTTTTTTTTCGATGTTTTCAAGTACATTTCACATAAGATTTAATATAGCATCTACAACTTGGCCACTTTATGAGAACAATTTTAATAATTTTGGAAATTGAATAGCCTTTCATATGATCAGTTCATATTTCAATTACATTGCTAAGATCGGATGGTATTTTTGAATCCTTTTCTATCTTTATTGATGATTTTTTTTAGTGGATTCAGCAAGCGGCTAGGGAAAATGGCTTGAAAAAGGTTTTTATTGTTGCCAAATAGCTTTAAGTGTAGCTTAAATACGGGTTTCAAATGGGTCTCAATACGTTCGTCATACAACCTTTTTGCAGTAATTCAATCTTGAAGAGCTTCGAAAATATACCCTTCAGAAACTTCTCCAGGATGGGCCCACTAGACAGATTCTAGTCTTAATGAGGTTTTGGTGGATGCATCAATGGCAAAGTAGCCTTGACCAGGGTTTTATGAATGTTGTGTTATAGTAGTTAAGCTGAACAATGCATTAGGACCTATGTACCATTAATCGATTTTCTTCAACAACTTTCTCTTCTGGTAATCGGTGAAGTGGTCATGCTTACTTGCCTACTTGTAATCGATTTTAATTATTGCATTTCAAGTATATCCGATAAAAATTGACGAAGTTATGCGACTTTGAAGAGTAACAACTACTACGTTCCTATATTACTAACAACTACGATGTAATCTGCCCGACGTTTCGGCCATGGGTTGTGGCCTTTTTCTAGGGAAAATCTTTATTGTACACAGTCAATTAGTTACAAAGTCATTGTTTGATTGTCTTACATTGTCTGTCGTTATTGTCAATAGTTTAGACGTTGTTGTGAATGATTTTCCATATTTTGGTGTCCTAAATGGGTGTTTGAAAGTTTTAAGTGGTATTTGGTGTAATTGGACTTATTTCAACTTACATTTAATGAAATTTAATTGAAAAAAGTAGGAGGTTGTATCCAAGACTCGACCGAAGATTTGACGTAGGATTACGTGCTCGGTATCAATATTTGGTAACTATGTTAGGGGAACCACTATTTGCTGGCAATCGATGATAATTTTGATCACCATTCCAACAGTTGGACATTTGTGTAATTTTCAATAAGATTAAAAATTATAAAGTATTCATTTTAGCAGCTTGGTAGAAAAATTACCAATCGATTGGTTTGTTTAGAATTGAAATCCATGCGCCATTGACAGAGTGATAAGTGGTCAAAACCTGACCACTTTTCGAAACGCGGTCGATTTTGTTGTTGTTTTTTTTTAATTGCACCCCCAATATGTTGCCGAAAGAAGTAATCCTACGTCAAAACTACTTGGTCACAATTTTGATCACCACTTGAGCATGGATATTTTATCTTAAATTTTGCATATGTGCTTAGCATGTGCATGTGCATATTGGGATGTCTTTGTTTTCTACTTCTAGAGTCCTGATGAATGTGGGCGTCTTAGTGGAATACCTGTATAATGAGAGAGAGAAGGATTAGTATTTTCCATTTAATTCCACTACTTTATTTGCTTATCCTTGACAGATACGAGTATTTCGTCTACAATGTGCAGACTTCTTCAGTGTCTTGCAAGGGCGTAGCCAGGTTTCGAGCTAGGGAGGGGCGAAAAAAAATTACCATGGAAAATTTGGCCGAATGCCATTTCACCGAACGCCATTTCCTTGAAAGCCTTTGTGTTGCCGAGTTTAGGGGGGGGGAAGTCGCCCCCCCCTGCCCCTATCTGGCTACGCCTATGGTGTCTTGTACTAATACTCGACGAGTATTAGTACAAGACACTGAAGAAGTCTGCACATTGTAGACGAAATACGCGTATCTGTCAAGGATAAGCAAATAAAGTAGTGGAATTAAATGGAAAATACTAATCCTTCTCTCTCTCTCATTATACTTCTAGAGTTTTTAACAGTGTGTAGAATGCCAGCGTAAGTGGAATTTAGGTTGTCAACGTCTTTTCGAAAATGTACTGTGTGTGTTGTGTTTGTTATATGGTACATTTCTAATGTAGAATGAGCCGATTCTCTCCGGGCTTGGTCTAATATGATAGTTTTGGCTAGGTTGAATTTGTGTTCTGTATAGCATGGTCCATTAGAGCTGTGGATTTCCTGAGTCTGATCGTGTGCTATTGGTTTGTTGTAGTTTATCTAATTTGTTAATGTGTATTTGATGTCCACTTAGTCTAATATTTAGTTTGATTTTCGTCACACCAATGCAAGTCATGGTATACTGTAGATAACGTTGGAATTTTGTTGTGTTGATGTTGGGTCCTTTACCGGTTTTAAGACGCTTTTTGTTGTTTTGGTTGTTCGATAGGGCAGTTTAACTTGTGGGTAATCTCGTTTTAGGAAGTGCGCTGTGTTGGTCGTCAGTTGCGGGACAGACGGGATGGATCGGTAGATGATGTTCAGTGGTGCTGATGGTAGAGTTTCATGTTCTTGGGCAGTTATCGGTGGCTTGTTTTGGGGTGCATTAACGATGGTGTTGGCTCCTGGTAATAAGTTTTGGGAGGATATTGGAGATACGGCGGCTGTAGTGGAAGTTGGTACGTCGAGTGGTGGATGGCTGGCTGCCGTGGTGGGGTAACCAGTGGTGGAACATCTGGTGTTGGAGTGTTGTTTCGGGGTGGGATCTGGTTTTCTGATCGGTTGGGCTGGTTCGACTAGTGGATGCGTGACAGTGACAACATAATGTTAATTATTGTTGCTGGGTAATTGTTTTGGCATAGGTATAGGAAGATAATTTTTTTCTGCTGTTCTAGGGGCTGGTTTCTCATGACACGATTGATGACTGTGAAATTTTTGATTTCAGATAATTTCTTCTCGGGTCACCGCGAAACGTCATTTAAAAAATTCCTCCTCCTGGAAGTGACGTCCTGTGGAACAAACACCACCTAAAAACATATAATAAAGCATGGCCCACTTAGTAATGGAACAACACCATTTGGGGCTATTTCGGATTTGAAAACGGTTTTCACTCAAATGCATATTTCTCCTTATATTTTAAGAAAGAAATTCGAAACGAATAATTTGTCGTGGCTTCGAAGCCATTCTCTAACTTTTTCCCTAATACGACCCACAACGCACAACGGTCTCGTCCACTGTCTTGGCGATTTTATCCCACCAATTTTTCATCTAGAGAAAATGGATCTAATGTCGGCCAAAATGCCTCTACATAAATTCAGCAATCGACTAAATTTTCAACAGTGACCAAAAATATTCATTAATACCGTCCCAATGACGCGTTAATATACATAAAATTGATAAATAGCAGATTTTCAGCGATGAGCCCAATCTTAGAACCAAAGGCCAACATTA